AAAAAAATATTCGATTTGTATACGAAGGAATATGTGCATCGAATCTATCTACCTCAATCCTAGGCCCCAATGATTGAAGTTAGACTGACATAGATCTACTTGGGCGCATTAATTTTATGAATTGGCTCAATTGGGTGCGTGTGGTTGATTGCAATGAGAAAAGCACTTGGAACGTCAAGTCTATTTAATTACAATTTCGTCTTTTATAGTTTGATCTTTTAAATAACAAAGGTTCTATAAGTATCTAACTCCTTTTGGAGCACGAACTCCTAACAAGAAATTTGAAAACTCTAGTGAATTTCACATGCCAGATTCAAACCTTATTCAAGTGACATGTGTTATTATTATTATTATTTTAAGTAATAATTATAAAATAGTTTTTATCTAAACAACAGTAAATGCATGTTCAAATCAATATTTGGTATCGTGGATACGTAGACAGAGGCACCGGAAGTTTCCTTGAAGAGATTTACTTCACATCCTTTCATTTATCTCATGTTCAAAGTATGCTATATGAGCATTCAGATAATGTTTCTACATGAAGGTAGAAACTCAAATGCATAAATTTCTAGGACATGCACACGAATCACAAATTATAGATATCATCATTCTTCGTCTATAGAACAAAAAAACCGCCACGAATCAAAAATCATGTCTCGGGATCAGGGGCAGAGCCAGAGATTTCGTCCAGTGCGGGCAAAATTTTAAGTATCGGCTATAGTGATTTTTTTGGTCGAAATTAGTCTATGAAAAAAGAGTTCACGTGATCAATGTGGAGTACATTTTTTAACAACGGATATGATGTTGGGGGTCCATTGTACAAATAATAAATTGATGGGCCAATAAATTCATAATGGGCCTTTTTTTTCAAGGCCCAAAATCTAAAAAGTTAAAAAATTGGCCCAACTTTACTCTTCTTCTTCCCTGTCGGCATACGCAGCAACTGTAACTCTTCTTCCTCCTTCCCTTCTTCCCTGTCGGTAGCTGTAAGTGTAACTCTTCTTCCTCCTTCACTTCTTCCCTATCGGCAACTGTAACTCTTCTTCCTCCGGCCACTTTTTCTTCTTCTTTCTTCCCTTTTCTTTTCTCTTCTTGGTCCAGTGCAGGCACACTGAAATTTCTTATGTCAAGTCCAAAGTCCAGTGCGAGCATCAGCCTGCACTGGACTCTATGTAGCTTCGCTCCTGCTTGGGATGGAGCTAGTTTTTTTTTTGTTTTTTCCTTTTTTTTAATCCTTCATTATGGAAATGCCCTTTTCCCCGACCAACACAGGAGCTAGCTTGCTCCCATTGGCGACGAGCAAGCGAAGGATCCAAAAAACATGAAGTTGGGGCGAGAAAAAAAAGAAGAAGAAGTTCCATTTTCCTTCTTCTCCATCAATTGAAAATCAAGACAAATTGTGCACTAGGTGAGACGTGAAAACACCCGGTCCCATTCCAACCTCGATATGTAAAATCGTCTTGCGTCATATGTACTGAGATTGTTCGACAGATATGGTCCAAGCCCCAATGAAGAGCTTCAAAGAATTTCAATTAGCATTGGAGGAATATAGTATATTATGCTTATATTTTCTTAAACATTCGCATTAGGGTACAATCCTATAAGATCTATAATGTCAAACAAATGCAAAGCATTATGTGCTACGCTAAAATCAAATCGACCACCCTCAGTGCATCACATCACCCAATAATTTCTGAACTCGTACTTCTTTGGCTAATGCGAGAGCTTCGATATCTTCTCAGGAGTATTTACCACACATTTGTCCAGAGAATTGCAACATCCATATCCATGGGGATCCATACTACAGCCGAATTTATATTCAATTTCCAAAATCAAAATCGAGATGTTTGTGAGAGTTGTTGCCCTAGTATTCACTAGTTAGAACATCTCCTAAGATTGAAAAAGGGAAAATGAAACATAATATTACTAGAATTATTTCATTTTGATTAAAAATATTCTTTAAAAGGCCTTTTTTCCCTATTAAGTTAAAACTTGGGGATAATGTCGTTAAAAAAATAATCTGGAGTGCAAGTTGCTATAATGTTCATAGATTAGGACCAACGCCTTAATTTCCCGTTCTTACTGTTCTTCAACTTCCCAAAATGCTGAAGTCCGGTACGATAAATTCTCTGGTTTCGCCGTTTACCGATGCAACCATCATTATCAATATTTATCACATTTTTCAGCTTAATCTTCCTTCCATGTATGTTATGAGGCGAGTAGAATTATCTGCGCTTTAATCCAAATTGAATACAAGAATTTTTGCTTCCAATTCTCCTCATCATGAATCTGCAACCTTGAACAAGGGCCGTATTTTGTATTCGAAAATCTATTGCTGCAGGTAATTATTATACTGAGACGATAATATTCATTGTCAATTGCACGTATGAATTTTCAATTTTTCCCCTTGGTGTAATATGAATAGTTGTCAGTTGACAATATCACGTTTTGCACTTAAAATGTTCGACTATTTATCCCAAGGAAACCATTTGTCTGTCAAGTGCGCAGAAAATTTATGGTCTGGCGTCTGAATAAATCCCACCTTCTTTGAAGTTTTATTGACAAAAGACGAAACTTTGAACTCTGTTAAAATTCATTCTGCAAGCACAAGGCTGTTGCGGAAAATACCTTATGCGCACTGATGACTGTGAACGTGAGGAATCACTTGGAAAGTCTCTTTCCAGAACTGAAGTTTTGTACTTCAATATCTTTTAAATCGTTATTATGAACGTATTTCCTTAACAAAGAAAAATGTATTTGCTTGTTGCTCAGTCACCGTAGACCATAGACAGTATGGTCTTAAAGTTAATTAATTATCTTCTATACTTGAAACTTATGTGATTAAATAGAATGGGCCAAGATTGTAATTTTCTAGTAATACATAACATAGAATGGAGGAGACTAGGCAAAGATTACTATTTATTTCACAAGAAATTTGCTATTTGTACGTGGGCCGTTGACACGTCCTTGTACATATAGCACTCCTCATTTAACAAGCATACGTTACACACTTCATTTCACACTATTCAAGAGAATGAATACTGTATTTATTTCAAAACATCATCTGAGAAGAAAGATGAATTTAGAAGTTCTTTGAGTAGAACTTGTAGAGAAAATATTAGAACATTGGTTGAATTTTTATACATAAAAGCTCCTGGGTAAAAAATCATGAAAATCTTGAATTGTAAAATTCCATTTTGCATGAATTTTATTCTGTAACGTGTTTCATTTGTGCCCAGAAACTATTCATATGGTACTACCCAAATAACTAAAGAAAAGTTATATTATGAATTGAAGATGATCAAAATGAGATTGATACAACTTACAAAATTGAATGTGCATTACACACACGACAAATGTGACTCATTATACTATAGGTTGGATTGTGTAATAAATGCCCTATGTGCAATTGCTTCATTTAGCATCACAAATTCTTCATTTTCCATCAGTAAATGCGTATGAGCAAAATTTCTGTCTGAGACGGACTACGGAACCCTGAAAATGGAGCGCAAAGATAATCAAACTCCACAAGGTTGGTTCTTCATCATCAAAAGTCCAACTAGACACCCTTCATTCATTCGTATTATTCCTATTTTCTCTCTCTAATAATTGCTAAACTGCAGGGCAAAGTGCTCGGGTTCTCGTGGAATTCCTGGAGGTAGCCATCACCTCTATTGTTTTTCTCAAAGGAGTTTATCCAAATGGTAAAAACAGTATTACAAAAAATGAGATCAATAATTCCACCTTATTACATATTTCTAGTGAGTAGTGGCTGCTCTAAAATTCATTTTGTGATATTCAATGAATGTATCGCTATACCAGTATCTGCATCTATGTAGGAGCATTTGAGAGGCGGAGATACATGAACATGGTGGTTCATAGGGCTAGGCATCCTGAGCTTTATGAATACATTCACTCTGCTGTTAATGGTCTCCTCCCTTTCATCCAAAAAGTAGGAGTGTTTTTTTTTGGGTAAAGCTATATTTGTATTGGGTGGTGTGTTATTGGATTTTCTTGAAGCAATTTATATTTTTTCCATTACCAATTAGGGTTTGGTGGAGAGAGTTGCTGTTATCTTCTTTAAAGAAGATAAGGTGCCAATTGAGAGATTTGTCTTTAAGCTTAATGTGAATCAGTCATATGGTTCAAAAGTGGAACAAGCTGACCTGGAGTTCTCTCTTAGATCCTTCTTGATCAAATTGCCTGTGTCAGAACCGATGACGAAGTTTCTTCCCCGCAGTAAGTATAAACATTTGCTGCTTTTCTTGCATCATGCCATATATGTTTAACATATTGAGTTAATGCCTTAATGTTCCCTTGTTACCAATTCTTCTCAATACTAGTTAATGTTCCCTTGTTACCAAGTCTTCTGAATACTAGTAACTTCAATGTAAATAATTGGAAGTGTGAAACATTAGCAGATTGCATCTGAACTAGAAAAAGGCAGCAGCAATGGGTTTTACTGATGAAATAGAGTTCAAAGTGCTAGTATTACCTACAATCCTTGCTGCAAGCGCGCACAAAAAAATGAAGAAATATTGAGTAGGGAAGGTCTTGCAAGCAAAATTAACAGCCTTAATTCTGTAGTGGATCTAGATACATACCACGAATTTGGAAGAATTTTTACATGTTTGAATTTCGAACTTTTTAGGATTGGATCTAATAAGGATTACTGATTAACAATCCACGAGCTACGTGGTAACATGCAAGAATGACCATTGATTTCTTATAACACCAAATTTGGAGTAAAATAAAGTCCAATACTCCATGAAAGGAAACTGCTAATCCTCAATGATTTTTGTTGCAATCAACACTTTTGGGTTTTGGGTTTGAAATCATAGTAGTTCAAATCTGTTAGTGTACCAACTAGAAAGAACAAGTTAAATTGCGGAATAAGTGATTATTTGATTAAAAACGGGTGATTACAGAAACTGGAATGAACTTAAAGCCTGAAGAAGGCTATAAACAAGAATAAACCACTCCACTACTCTCTCAAATATTTGCCTGCCTATCTATTCTTTCCTACCCTTATTTATAACATTTCTTCCTAATAGAATTTCCCTCCTCTGTCTTGGTCCCTAACCGAATGTTGTTGCACATCCCTTCTAGTGAGTTCTCTATTCTTCTGGCTTCTTCTAGCATAAATGAAACGGATTGGAGGCTTAACATTATTCCCGGTTTCCAAAATCACATTGTCCTCAAAGTGAAAATTGGGAAATTGCTGCTGGAACAAACTAGTTTATCCCAGGATGCCTCTTCTTTAGGTAGCCCCTTCCATTGAATTAGCACTTCTGTTTTTGGTTGCTGCTCACTTCCTACCTTGCGCACCCCAAGCACCTGTTATGGCTCAACCATCCACTCCATAGTAGTGTCCCGATGCATGGGAATTGGTTGGCTAAACTCCAAATTTCCTAGAGCTCTTTTTTAGTTGAGACACATGAAAAACCGGGTGAATTGTTGTTGGTGGCAACTCCAGCTGATAGGCTACTGTACCCATCCTTTTGATAATTTTATATGGACCAAAATACTTGGGACCCAGTTTCTCATTAGGTTTCTTCGCCAGAAATACTTGGGACCCAGTTTCTCATTGGGTTTCTTCGCCAGAGAAAGCAGGCGGTATGGTCTTAGCTTTACATAAACAAAATCTTTTTTTTAGTTGAGACACATGAAAAACCGGGTGAATTGTTGTTGGTGGCAACTCCAGCTGATAGGCTACTGTACCCATCCTTTTGATAATTTTATATGGACCAAAATACTTGGGACCCAGTTTCTCATTGGGTTTCTTCGCCAGAGAAAGCAGGCGGTATGGTCTTAGCTTTACATAAACAAAATCCCCTTCCATGAACTCGATGTCTCTCCTATGCTGATCCGTTGATAACTTCGTTCGGGCCTGAGCTTGGAGCAGATGATATTTCAGTTCTTCCAAAATCTGACCCCTGTCCTGCAGTTGTTGTTCTACGACTGAAACAACTGTTTTCTGTGTTCTGGACACCATATCGAATGAGTGGAGCAGGGTCTCTCCCATAAACTGCTACCGGAGTGGATTTGAATCGCTGCTTTTTTTGTTCTGACAGTGTGATGGAGAATGGATGCGAGCAAGAGACTTTCAATTTTTTTTTAAGGAAAAAAATAGGAAATTCTCTCTTTCTAAGAGATTGAAAAGGAGTGATTTTTGTGGAAGCGTGGAAGGTAGTATTATACCAATATTTGGCCCATGGTAGCCAAGTAGTCCAGTGTCGAGGCTTATCAAATGTGAAACACCGCAAATAAGCTTCCACACATTTGTTGACAATTTCTGTCTGGCCGTCCGTTTGTGGGTGATACGCCGTGCTTCGACGGAGACTAGTGCCTTGTAGCTTGAACAACCCCGTCCAAAATTGACTTAAGAAGACCTTGTCCCGATCTGATACAATGGATCTCGGGATACCATGAAGTTTTACCCCTTCTTTGACAAATATGGCTGCAACCATCGATGCTCTGAACGGGTGTTTGAGGGGGAGAAAATGAGCATACTTGCTTAGGCGATCCACCACCACCAATATGGAGTCAAATCCCCCTGACTTTGGTAGTCCCTCTATGAAATCCATGGAGATATCTTCCCAAACCAGACACGGAATAGGCAGGGGTTGTAGGAGGCCTGTGGGCGATAAAGCTGAATTTTTGTTCTGCTGGCATACTGGACATTCCTCCACAAACTTTCTGATATCTTTCTTCATTCCCTTCCAATATAAATCTGATGTCATCCGTTTGTATGTCCGGAGAAAATCGGAGTGACCACCCACCAGACTACTATAGTACTCTCTCAGCAAGTTTTGAATTAATGATGAAGTCTGAGAAATTACTAGCCTTCCTTTGTACAACAATCTCCCTTGCTCCAGTGAGAAACGTGGGTGGGAGTTGGGGTCTTCTTGCAACTCCTCCTTTATTTTGGAGAGAAGAGGGTCGGAGGCTACCTATTCCATTATTGTTTGGACGTCCACTACCGTCGGAATAGTGATGGCCGAGAACTCTACCGGGGGGCAGATTCTGGACAATGCATCTGCGGCCTTATTTTCCGTGCCGGGACGATATTGTATCTCGAACTCATATTCCATCAACTTAGTAACCCATCGTTGAAACTCCTCGGGCACTACTCTTTGTTCCAGCAAATACTTCAGGCTCCTTTGGTCCGTTTGTACTAGAAATCATCGTCCCAACAGGTAATGTCGCCATTTTTAAATTGCCAATACTATGGCCATCAATTCCTTCTCATAAACTGACTTCTGCTGGGATTTTCTGGATAATACCTGACTAAAGAAAGCAATAGGCTGCTGGCTCTGCATCAACACTGCCCCCAAATTGTATCCAGATGCATCGGTTTCTACCACAAATGTTTTTGAGAAATCCGGAAGGGCTAGAACTGGGACTATGGTCATGACTATCTTTAATTGTTGGAAAGCCTTCTCAGCCTCTGGAGTCCACCCAAATGCATCCTTCTTTAATTGCTGTGTGAGAGGCCAA